TTCTGTGAACCTGTAGTACGTATTAGCTTAACACACTCCTTGCAGAATATAGCTCGGAGCTGCTACTCTCAAAATTGGTTTGACATTTGGTAAAGAAACTTGTCTGGTCTCGTCTTTACGACTGTACTCATGGTCACCTCCTTGACATGTGCTAAACTATAACCTTCCCACCCAGAATATGACATTTGCCGAACGTGTCGGACATGCTCCACCATCGTCCACGGAGCACAAAGACCCCGAGAAGGTCATCCTCTTCTTTGGCAGAGACTTTCTAATGGAAGAAGTGTCACTTTTATGGCACATATGAGCTACAGTAGTCCCCTGAGAGCACTGATAGGTAGTGGCCCGGGGCTGTCCTCGGTCGGAAATGTGGCGTGTCCGACTGTCGTGGTCTTCTTAAGTCTTTGTCCACTGTTTTCAAAGAGACTCAGAAAGCGCCCTGCAAAGCTAAAAGCGCCCGATGCTTTTAGAAACATTCTTTTTTTTTCCACAAAGACTTCAGATGTCAAATGGATTCCCACAACAGATGTAGACGTGACGGCCATACAGCAGAGACAGAGAGAGAGAGAGAGAGAGAGAGACAGGGAGAGACAGTGCTAGAGTGGCAGAATTAGAGAGACAGACAGAGAGAGAGACAGGACAAGAAAGAGAGAGAGAGAGAGAGACAGAAACAGAAACAGAGAGAGAGACAGAGAGGGAGAGAGAGAGAGACAGAGACTGTGTTAGACTGGCAGAGATAGAGAGACAGAAAAAGACAGACAGTGAGAGATAGGGAGAGACAGAGAGAGAAAGAGAGAGAAACAGAAAAAGACACAGAGAGGGAGGGAGAGAGAGAGAGAAATGGAGACAGACAGACAGTGAGAGAGACAGAGAGAGAGACAGCGACTGTTAGAGTGGCAGAGAGAGAGAGACAGAAAGAGGTAGAGAAAGAGAGGGAGGGAGGGAGGGAGAGAGAGATAAAGACAGACAGACAGACAGACAGTGAGAGAGAGATAGCTATATGAACAAACACAGCCTATGCAGACCACCAGAATGACTTATGGGGCTGAACTCACGGGAACACATGACTTTAACAAAAATAACTTTATTGATCAAATCCTCACATTATCATCATTATTTTTGTGGAAAAAGACGGAACACTTTGGCCCTTAACTACAGAGACTTCATATCGACTGTTTGAAGGAAACAGAAAAGCACAGTTGTTCAGAGTCCGCAGGTAACCTTTTTTAAATAACAGCTTTGAGCACAGCCTTTCACCTGGAAGTTTGTTAAAGTAGGCTAATCAAAGTTTTCAAACTGAACTTTCCCTTTGTCTGTTTTTATTACGCACTGCAAAAAGTGATAACAAAATAAGTCAAAAATTGCTTGAATATTTGCAAAATGTAATTTAATTTGAGCCCATTCTGACTGCCTCAAAACAAGATTTGCAAATGACACAGGCACAATAATCTTGTTTTAAAAAGAGTCAAGAAATAAAGCAGCAGTTCTTGAAAGAAGACTAAATGGCTTGTCCCATCGGCAGCTCATAATGTACTCAATTTAAGATGAAGACCACTCAATTGTAAATGTGTGTGTGTGTGTGTTTCATTATTATTATTATTCTAATTTATGTCTCTATGCTAGCTTATATTTTATAATTAGTTTTAAACAAGATATTTTGCAATTCTTTGTTTTTGTATAATGAAAAAACCTTTAAAATATTGGTTAAAAAAAAAACTTTGATGAATTCTTGCAGTGTAAAGAAAAGGAGTCATGTTCAGTGTGTCGTCTGGGAAACATTTACAGACAAACCTAATTATTTATTAGTGTTGAAGACATATTATTAGTCATTCTATTGATGGTCCGGCTGCTGAGTCCTGGTCCTCGTACAATTGCAGCCTTTAGTGGTAATGAATTCAAAGGTGCACAGAGAGTGGAAGATATTGAGATGGTGGAGGCAGGAACCCGCGCTTTCACTTCATTAAAAAGTCATTGGGCCCGAGGCTGCGATCACAGCGCCGGAGTTTAAAGCTGTTACAAACGGCTCGTTGGCCAGCCACTCTTGACATTTCACTGTCTGATCACACCTGGCTCTGAGCTGGTGGCATTTCTCAGGGAATAATAATTAGTTGGGCACAGACTCCGGCCCAGTGCGAACCGTTTTAAAAAAAAAAAGGTGAAGGATTTAGTTTGTGACCCGTAGCGCTTTTTCAATCTGTCCATTTGTGATCGTTAACCAATCTTTGCTTTGTGTGACATTTTACACGATCGATAATTAGGCAACAGTCAGAGTGGTACAAAATCAACGCCATCAGCTTTCTTTGCCTATTGATGCGAGAAAAACAACAACAGCATTGATTTCATTTAAGCTTCGTCTCAAACTTTCGGAAAAAAAAACTGTATTTTTCTTTTGTCTAAATGCTTTTCTATCCATCGCTAAAATGAATTCCAAACTCGTGTGAGCTCTAGGACGTGCTCTGTTTTTCCTCCATGCCAAGGTAATTCTCAGTGGGCCGGTGTGGTGAGCAGTGATGCATTGTGGGAGTGCTGGTACGGGCCTGCAGCTGTTCGAAGTAATACTGACATATTTCATACAGGCCTGAGCGTGCTGTGTTCAGTCCGTCAGACCTGAGCCCACGCATTATGGAGAGCTTTCACTGATGTCTATTGGGCACCGGTCAATAGGGAAGATCCATACACTCTAAATAGTAGAGGGAAGATCTTTGTTTTCATCTTTGATCATGATTGTTTAAGAACTTTTCAAGAATATTCAATACAGACTAAATAGATATATATTTCAACAATTACAAACTGTACTCAGGCAAAGTTAAGTAAAAAATAATGCAGCGTTCTGTATGTGAATCACTTGGATTTCATAAAGCTGCACTGCAAAAAATGATAAAAGGTGAGGTAATAATTGCTTGCATCGAGTGGTTTTCATCTTAATTTGAGTTCATTCTGACTGTCCTAAAACAAGATTTTTGAGAGATGGTTTTGAACAAGGACAAAGCCTTATTGTCTCATTCCAAGGGAGACATTTGATGTATCTTTTTAAAACATAATGTTCCTTGTCCCATTCGTAAATCTTGTTTTGATTTAAGGCAGTCAGACTGAGCTAAAATCAAGATAAAAATAAATAAAAATCAGGATTTTGCCAGATTTGAATGCAATCTTGACCACTTTTTTCATCACTTTTTGCAGTGTGGTCACATTCTAGAGGAGAGCGAAAAAGGACGTTGTGAGAGAAAATCATATGAACACCTGCTGTTGTGTTTTATGATGTCACTGTATAATCTGTAACAATCTGAGCATCCCCATTAGAGAATTTGAAAATTTTCCCAAGCAAAAATCTCCGTTTCGCTATTTTGCCTCTGTTCTATGACCAGTCAACCACCGTTCGTTATTGCGCCACTAATATGCACATCTGTGGCACATCTGCCGTTCTCGATGGAGATACATTAGTTTAACGCAACACAGTGTAATATTTAAGGCAAAACAAATAATCTGAGAGAAAACCAGCTGTTAGAATGTATATTTACACCACTCCAGGACTTTATACGACAATGCACCTTTATAATAAATGTCCCTTAACATTTACCTGGCCTGTGGAGACCATAATGCTATTTTAATGTTTAGGAGTCTAAGCCTGTTCCTTCCATTCCCTTCCACACAATGTCCATGTTTCGACAATACTAGTTTTAACACTTTGTTGCATGGTGATAAATGTATATGCTTTTTAGCAACAGAATTATTACATTCCCTACATATGGCAATAATAACATACAACACAAAAGGCAAACAAAACCATGTCGAAACCTTTGAGATTGCCACAAAGGCTGACAACTCAATAGCCAGAGTCCAGTGAATAGTAGCCATAGCTAACATTGCTGTACCCATCTCCTGTGCTCTGAACAGGCTGAAGTTTTCATTGTGTTGGAGCACCTCCACGGCTCAAAGCACAGACAGGAGACAGGAGGCAGCTGCAGAGGAGTGTGGGCTGTCCATCAGTGATAATATGTCTACACAAAGCACAGCAGAGCTGATAGACTGAAAACACCTTTCACTTTCTGTGCTATTTCGTATAAGAGACCAAACTGTGCACAGTCCTGGATGAGCAGGCAGTACTGTTGCTGAGAGGAAAATACACTACATATATGTGTTTTCTATTTTTGCTTCGGACCAAACTCAAGACTGTGAAAGGAACGATGCTGCCAAAGAATGATCTCAGCCTGTCTCAACACATAATCACTCTTAAGTTTAGCGGGACCATTTTATTTCTATTTGTATGAGCTCTTAGTGAAGTGCGATCTGTTCTCCTCATATATTATTAACATTCCAAACACAAGCTGCATACTTGTTTGGGTCGACTTTCAAAATGAAATAATGAGAAATTGTCATTTTAGGAGATTACCATTGCCATTCGTTTCCAGTGAAACCAGTGGAGCAGTGCAAGAGGCATTCATACTGTATGCATGTGTCTAATGAGAGGATTATGGTTTCCCATGTCACAAAGTTATGTTCATGCAAATGCCATGTATTGCATGCTAATTGTAAACTGTATAAATGTCCTTTTGATGAATATGCATCAGATACAGAATAAGAAAGCAGCTGGGTGTGGAGGAGGATTGGCCTCACGCTGTCATTAACCTCAGTCTTTCAAATAGGACACAGAATGCATAAACATATAAACAGACAGCAAATTACTGAGGAACTATGGTCGTTTATGGTTTTCATTTGGATAGAGAGAAAACAAAAGTAAAGTAAAACAACTGAAGGGCTGTTATACAACTTTGAAACTCAAACCCAGGATTCATAGTGGTCTTAAAATATATTTTTAAAAAGAGGTTCCATTCCCAGTACACATTCTTGTTTGTCTTCACAAACATCATCCAAACAATGCTTCTTTCATAAACGCAAATACATAACTTTTAAACTGGGAAGTAGAAAGTGCATGTTTTATACTGTCACAATGTGAAGCCTCAACAACAGTGTATCCGGTTTATGAACCAAAGTGTGCGTACCTTTTGGCGGATCTCCTCCTCCATCCTGATGGGTGACCCCAGCTCTGCCACCTGCCGGACCCCCTCACTGGAGTAGCCCCCATACTCCCACAGCACATAGCTCCTGGAGTGGGACGCCCCGATCAAAGCCGACCAGTGATTGGCGCGTCCTGACATCCAAAAAGACAGTATTTATTTGTTTTAAATGGCACACGCTCTTTATGGTGTTTAAAACATGGTTATCAAATATTTCCTGTGTCTTTGAAGTTAATATTGAAGTGTTGCCTTGAAAGTGCTTGTGCTGTGGTTAATGTGAGCCGTGGACTATTAGCCCTGTCACAGATCCGCCTCCAGACACCTCGCCAATGGCTCCACACTAGACTCCATAAGTCTCTCACAGACGCTGCAGCTCCCTTGGAAGGAATTTATTTTGCACCTAAAGCACTTGGCTTTTCATAGATCCATTTGGTGAACAGATTTATTCCCCCTTTGCCTCAATTTCCAGACACATTTCTTCTACATTATATCCTTTCATTGTGTGGAATAGACCTATGAACTGATGCCGTTTTTAGTATTGGTGATGTGTTTTAATGTGGGGCTTGTCTCACGCTTTTATCACAATTTAACGCCTCTATAAACCATGGTCAGTTGGCGCAAAAGCATTTTGGGGTTTGGAATATTATAAATCCAAATTAAAGTTGGTATGTCATTGCGAATGCGTCTCACTTGTAAAATAAAACGTTAAAAAATGAATGGAATTTTTGCATGCAAGTGGTCAAATAGTGTCTATAAATACTTTTTATTCAAAATCGTTTCAACATTTATGGACATTGGTCATCTGCCCCTTATGGACCAACAGCTCTGTGTGTTTTATATCATTGCTTCACCTACTGCACTCCACCTACACCCACTCCAGCCGGGGGTGATGCCTCCAGGCTCCACCCTATGGTCTGAACCATGACAGGCCCAGAAGAGGGGTCGTTTGGGAGGATTATTGTTTTCAGTTAGTAAAAGTTGCCAATATTATTATTATGATTATCAATTATTATTGTTATAGTTATTTATTTGTTAGTTGGTCTGATCCCCCAGCTTAAAGGAGCAGTATGGAAAAATCTGGCCAAAAGTGGTACTGCAACCTCTCCCACTTTTTCTGACTCAGGTTTCCAGATATGCAGACGAATCCAGCTGGGACCATAATAATAATAACTGAATAGACAAGAGTTTTGTAAACAACAAATCTATAACCAACACCTTTTTCACAAAGGCCAGATAGAAATCCTTGTTTTATTCAAAATTATAACAACAACAAGATTTAGGGGCTGTAAAACTAATTTTGAAATGTGAATATCCCGGCTGAACTACTGTAATCTTGTGATTTATTTGTAACTGTGACACCTTTTTTAATTAAAAAGCCTAAATATTCAAACAGTGTTGTGTGTTTCCTGCTGCATCATTGGTCCCATACAAGAATATATTGAATTTAACTGACAACTAAATGATTTAATTTTTTTAGATTTTTTTAACATTGCTTAATTCTATTTTGGACATTCACTTTCACACAACAATCATTTGGAGAAGTATCTGGAGGGTACATACTTGGATAGTCTTTGGGATGCACTTTCTCAGACCAGTTTCCGAAGAAAGTGAGGCGGTATTTTGCGGTTCCACAGGCACAACACTCCAAAGCAGGAGTCTGAGTGGCTTCACCAAACACAACTTCTACAAAAACAAACAAACAGAAAAAAGTCAGAAGAGTGAGCCATGAAAAACACACATATAAGAGTTCAGACCGAGTTAGAAAGTCATAGAAAGTGACACATTAGATTTGACGGGCGTCTTATCATATTAAAATATAGGCCTCTGTCAGTGTTTTGCAAAGATAGGTCAAGAGGAGCTGGTGAATATTTATAAGTTCACAAATTATTCTGCAGGAAATCTCTCTCAACATCACGGTTATGACAGTGAGTCAGGAAAACCACAGAAGGCAGAGTGAACCGGATGCTGTAATTGGCCAATTAAATTTCAGGAGAAGACTGGGTGAAATTGAAGGAAGCGTGTGTCCTTGCAGGTAACTAGGGAACCATTTGGGCTGCTCTTAAAGCTTCACTTTTGAAAACGTTATAAATAATTATACATCCACTGGCAGAAATATTGTTTCAGCACCTGTTGGATATGAAGGGGCTGGGTCTTTTTTTATGTTTTAATCGTAAAAACAGGCCACACATTTCCACAGCTAAAGTATATTGTAGAAGCAGCTGCAAGAGTTGAGATGAGACTACTGCATGTAATAGTGAAGGATGATTATAATCTTAGCTGCACCATGGCTGAGTGGGTATTATTGTTGTTTACTGTCACATGAATGATGTATTTTTTATGTAGCATGTATGTTGCTATGAATATATGTGTCACAAGTTATATTACCAAGACTAACTACTAGAAAATGAACTGAAGATTAAAAACTGAAAGTGTACGCATGTGTAAATGGGTAAATGTTTAGGATAAGGGATAAGATATGATATTACATTTGTGTGTATCATTGTTGGCAGCTCCCTGGGGGTTCCCTTTCATTTTCAAATTTATTTAACAAAAATGTGAATGACTGAGCTTGACTATGAAGTTTTGATAATAAAAACAATTGAATTGTATAGCTCCCATGCCACAAAACAAAAAGGTTGTGTGGAGGCAGCATTTCAGATTTATGCAGCTAAAATCTGGAATGGTCTTCCTGAAAATGTGAAATGGGCTTTTTCTCTGATGATGTTCAAATCCAGGTTAAAAACTGCTCTGTTTAGCTGTTGCTACAACTGAGGGATTTTCTCTTTACTCTTTTTAATGTACAGTGGTTATTTATGTGTTTGAACTTCAGTGTGGAGTTTACATGTTTCTCTCTGTGTTTCCTCTGGGTGCACTATGGTTTCTCCCACCACGTTGGTCAGTAGTCCTGGCCCAGCTGAGCATGAGCATCTGGAGATAGGTCCCTATGGTCCCTCCAGCTCCCTCCAGCTCCCGGTGCCTCCTGCCCTCCTTATCACCAGCTCTCCTTCCCTCTGAACTCTGTATCTCTGACGCTCTCCCACATTTCCAAACCAAACTCAGAACACATATTTTCAGACTGGTCTATTCACTGTGACCCTACACTCCACTGGCCATTCATAACTGTATGCTTTGTCTATTATAACTATAACTGTTTTTGATTATAATTTGTATCTTTTGTTCGGTGACCTTGAGTGCCCAGAAAAATGCGGCATATAAATAACATGTTTTATTATTTGTTATTATGATTATTATGATTATGATTATTCACTTTTACAGGAAGATTTTATTGGAGGAATGGGTTGCATTTAAAAGGAGCAGTATGTACAAATCTGGCCAATAGTTGTACTGCAACCTCTCCCTGACTCGGGTTGCCAGATATGCAAACGAATCCAGCTGGGACCATAATATGTGAAAAGAGTAGAAAACAAATCTACTGTATAATCCCCACATTTTTCACAAAGGCCCCAATAGAAATCCTGGTTTTATTTCTTGTTTTGTCTACTTTACACACCAGTTAAAACGTGATGTATTTGAGTTCATGAAAGTGAGGTTTGGATGATGTTTGTAATGATTTCAGAATAATAACAAGACCTTTGTTAGTTCTGCGACCACATGTTGCTTTACCAGTGAGATTAGCTCAACGCGGGGAGTTCTGGCAACCCGGATCACGGACTTTCTGATTGGTGAAACAGTGGAGGGCGGAACATCAAAATGAAAACAATAACAAGATTTAGGGGCTGTAAAACTACTTTTGAAATAAAAATATCTCGGCTGAACAACTGTTATTAGTTAAAGAAGTGTTCGAAAAGAGCATGGCTTATTAATGCCCTAATCTAATCAATGCCTTGACAGATTAGGGCTTGACATGAAAAATCTTGCATATAGCTACTTTAAAGGACAATGTTCCAATGTTTCAACAGCAAAAGTGCAATGAATGAAACCTTAAAAGGCACTATTTTTCAGTTTGGAGTCAGTCATGCTTGGCCAAAATCTTCAACCAATACTCAGCGACATTCCATAGACAAGAAAGAACATTTGACTGAAAGCCTGAAACATTCCCGTTCTTACTACAGCTCAGCCTCGGCGATGACAAATGTTTGCATTAATCATAAATAAATACATTAAATACAATCTACATATAGATTTGAATCATAAGCCACATGGGGCGAACGCACAAAGCGCATGGATCTCATTTCATATACGTGGGACGCATCTATAAGTTGTAGCGTAGAAACATCCACATTATAAACACGAGACGCAAGGAGGGCATTCTCGTCTCGTCAGACTCTAGGTTATTGTGAGAAAAGACGTGCAGTAGAAGAGAATGTGAGATGCTGGTCCGCCTGAGAGCTCGTAACTTTCCCACATAAACAAATTGTCATACAAAAAGCAAATCGGTCTGTTGTACGAATAGATAAATGACCGCGGATAAAGCATACAGGATATTTGCCCCCTTTTTGACATGATGATGATGGTGATTACATGAAACTAAATGAAAATGGAAAGTGGCCGATTGATGAGCCACCAAAAGGCAAGCTAAGGCAAATGTATCTGTATTAAGACACAAGGCCACTCAATGTGATAAAAAAGATACAACAAAAAATTGCCTTACACTGGTTCAAAAACAGCATCGGAGAAGAGAATCGCAGAGGTGGGACACTCAACGCTGCTGGCAAGAACGTTGCTATTGTGCTAACACTCCCAGATCTCCCAGACCAGTCAATGTGACAGCTTTTACTTTTGGAAGTTTAATAACTCAGCACATGTACAGTTTTACTCGTCATAACTTTGTGACTTTTTCTGTATGAACTTTATTTCTATATCATTATTTTTTTCATATTTTTGTTTTAACATGAGTAGTTCTACCATTAACTAATAGAGAAGAGCCAGTACTAGTTACAATAGAAACACACTGTTTACTGTCAACAGCTAGCATTTATGTATTAAGTCATTTAGCCATTAAGCCTGAATGACTTAATACATCTGGGGGAAGTTACTAGAATTCCATTGGTTTGAATGGGAGCAGTCAAAATGACGACTCTGGGCGTTTTAGTAGTTTCAGAATTATAAATAAATAAATAGATAATGTTACAATTGTCTAATATAGAAGAACCAAATAACTAAAAATCTATAAGAAGACAAGATGAACCGTCCTAAACTGTTGAGCTTTAATGTCTAGAGGGGGACTCAAAACACCTTTTCATGGGCCCTTTCCAGCACGGGGGCCACGTGTTTGAGATCCCTGCTTCATGTTGACGGCGTAAAACAGAAAATAAATGTCTCCTTTTAAGACGCAAAGGATAATCGCATGACCTTTACTGAGTCTGTACAATCCTTCTGACAACCACTAGTGGGGTATTTCAGGTTCACCGATGAAATATCTGTCCCATTTATGAAAAGTTATTGCACACAGTACTTTTTGTTTTCCGTTTCAATGCAGACTGCGTTATGTTATAATGGCTAATCTTCCACTTTATCTGAGAACTAATCATTGGATCGTTCTTCTGGTTGGTACAGCTTGTTCGTATCTGATTTACTCCATTAAAGGGGAATCAATTATGCTTCTAACCTTGGTATCGATATTGTCTATCTTCATGTAGAGTTATATTTTAAGTAGAAGTTGAATGCTTGAGCGACACAGTGGCTGAGTAGATAGCACTCTCAGAAGGTCCTGGGTTCAAATCTCGATTGGAACAGGGCCTTTCTGAATAGAGTTTGTATGTTCTCCCCATATCTGCATAGGTTTCCTCCAGATGATCCAGTTCCCCCTACCACTAAAAATACCATGTAATGCACAATGTGTAAACGCAAAATCCCCGGCTAAGAATTTGTTCTCCGGACGACATGGTGCGTTTCTCTCACTTCACAGTAAGAAAGTTCTGGGATGCATGCCTTCCTGTGTGGCGTTTGCATGTTCTCCCTATCACTGTATAGGTTTCGTTCAGGTGCTCTGTAGGTGCCCCCCCCCCCCATCATTTGCAGAGGGAGCACCAGTGGGATCCCATATATAAAAGATTACCTACTTACTTACTACTAACCCCCAAAAATATGACATATCTTCCATTGTTATCAGGAATCCTATCTTTACAAAGCAAGATGCATGAATACGCCTGGGGGAAAAAGGCATATTCACGTATCTGACAGTAAACCTATAAACAACATTGTATGTGTCAAAGTGCAGGTCTGACTAGAAGAAGCACATTGTGCACATAAGTGGACATGTTCCTCACAAAGCATCGCTCCAAGGGCAAAAAAGATTCACAATAATCAGAGCTCACTTCAAGCATCCCTATTTTCTTGCCCCAGAAAAATAAATCACAAAAGGCACTCTCGTCCCCTCTTGCTCGAAACAAAGCAAAGTTGAAATTTCTTCTGTAATTCAGTGTCTTGCTGCTTCAAAACTCCAACAGAAAAGACTATCTTCAAACAGAAAACAGCGCACAATAGCACAGCAGATAATGGTGGGTGGACGGTCCCAGGATGAGAGGTAGACGACTGACAGAGTTACCTTTCTCACACAGCCGGACGGTCAGGGAGCCTTCGTCCTGGAAATAGATGATTCTCTTCTGCACAATACTGGCCCTGTGAAGAGAGGAGAGATATTATAAGAGCGCGGCCACACAAAATGCTGGATTAGATAGATAATGTGGTTCCTTTCCCCACTATCTAGTCCATGCAATCTTCAGAGAGAGGACAGTAATGACTTCCCACAGGCATCGTAATGGACAAAAAGAACATATTTCTCACAGGGAGAAGGTAATAGATTATCTGGGGACAAAATCACGTTCCTGGAACAAGCTCTCCAGCAGTTTAGATTGTGGAATGGTTTAAGTCTGCAGGAGATCCTATCTGGACACAAACACATATAGAGAAGCCATGGGGTTGGAAGTGGCAATGAGATTCCTTATGTTTTAACTTTTCTGTAAATCTTAGTAAAGTAGATTTTTTTCAGCATTTTAATTGAAGTTCCATTTATCCTAGTTTCATAGTTTTTAAGATAATGGCATCATTTACCTGCACTACTATTGCCACTGTTTCTTTTATTGCCACTTTTTTATTGTACATAATATATCCTGCATTTAACATGTTTGCACATTTCTTTCTTTTGCACAATCTTGCGTGATTCTATCCATGCCAGATGTGACATGTAAATTTCTCCTGTGTGAGATCAATAAAGTCTATCTTATCTTATTTGACAGGGACAATGCAGTCATACATTACTTTACTTTACTTTATTAGTTACTGCAAAAGATGTTACTAACTGATGCGACTCAAACAGAGTAAATGGTAAAGGTTCTGAACTGTCCCTGGCTGGGATTTTCCCTAAATACTCATACAAAAGTCAAAAAAAAATTTATTTACAACAGTGATCGCACATTTAGGCATTCATTTTAGAGAAACAAGTTCATACACACAGACACTGTCACAAGAAAACTCACATGATTAAATACATCATTTACTAGTTACTAATAATAATGCATCGGTTTTATATACTGTAACGCTTTTTTGGACACTGAGAACAGTGGTGATAAACTACTATTGTAGCCACAGCTGCTCTGGCAACCAGCCACTCCGACCGCCACCAACCAAATTCATTCTGAGTGTCTTGCCTAAGGACACAACGACATATTGACACTTTACTGTGGGACCTGGTGTTCCCAGAAGTCTCCCATCACAGTACTAACCAGGCCATACCGTGCACAGTTTCAGTGGTCTGACAGGATAAGGCCACTGCAAGTATGGCCACTAAATTGACATTTATTAAACCAGGAAAGTCCCTTTGATATTTCAGAATCTCTTTGTCAGGGGAGTCTTAGCCCTAAAGAAAGGGGATGGCAATGAGGTCAGGGAGGGTGTTATGGGGCGCTATTGTACATTTTTTAGTAGTAAGTGAAATCAGAGCACCCAGAGACATGGGGAGAACATGCAAACTCCACACAGAACGGCTTTGTCTGGAAGTGGAATCAAACCCAGGACCTTCCGTTGTGAAGCACTAGCGCTAACCACTCCACCACTGTTTCCCTAAATACAAGTTTGAGACTTTGTAGAATACAGTGTAATATTCCACATTGAACGCCATCCAGAATAAGAAACATGTAAGGTTCCATTTTGAATGTATTGCACCATTTATTTGAGCGTGGAACCGGTTTTGGTAGGGCTCTTAGAGTAGAGACATAAAGCTGGCCTAAATGTTCACAGTGCTGCTCAGACAGAGAGGCCAGACCACATTAACCAGGAGTTATGGCTTATATTACGCTTATAAATCTTACACACGCCTAATGCTACAATATAACCTGCAACACAGCTGACTGCTTAGGCATGAAATTGAAAAACAGTGAACTATGCCCACAATTATCCAGCACTCGGACACTAAATGTAGATTCACTAATGGTAGCCTGTCGTTGATGATACTTTTAATTCAAGCTAACTATAGCCGTACATCAGTAATATCACAGGAGTCAGATTGGTCGTATAGTCTGCCAGCGGTGACTGATGTAAGAGCCTTTTATTAGACTGCAGTGTTCTGATGGGACCTAGCATTAGCATCTGGTTTTAGCTCTCAAAACGCTTTCTTGTATAATTATAAACTACAGGGGTTTTCATATTGCAAACTCAGTATTTATGCTCCAGAACAAATTACGTGACGATACGGAACTTGTTTTGTGAACGCTCAGCGAGTTGTTTGTTTGGACCCGTGTCAGCTTTCCTCAAACGGAAGACAAGAACGTTCCACACAAAAAATAAAAATAAATCCCGACTTTCCAAATAAGTCTTCTTAAATCTCCGCACGGGTTGCCAGGACCAGAAGGAATTGCATTATTGTTAGTAGTGGTATAGTTTAGTTCGGTCATTATGTACGTTAGAACTTACAGTAGGTCACATGTTTCCAACGATCAAAGATATTTTAAAATAAAAGACACAAAAAAAGTCTGTACTAAGAATACACTAAATAATGCCAGATACCGAAGAAGGTTTAGGCTGAAGTCATGGATAATGGATCACAGCAGCTTTATCATCCACATGGAGCAAAACAAACACTTTCCAACATATTTAAAACAACTTTATAAAGGAAATTGGCGCAAACAGAACAGCCCAAACTATAACAACCACGCCCTCATTATGATTAATATTCTACTTTGCGTATTTGTGTAACCGTCTCTTCACCTGACCCACATTTTTAAGCACCGGGCTGTTAAATTATGATGCAAGTTCACACTGAGCCTGCACTGACAACAAGTGTATATAATGTACTGTATAAATAGAATCCGATGAGGGTCGGTAATAAAACCTATTGACACCTGATCATTACTATGTATAATGAAGCATATTAATTATCAATACTAAACTAAAGCCACTGAACTGAACATGTCAAATGTGACTCTGGCTCTGTATGTTGCAGCAAATGTCAGTGAAGCTTCTTTCGCTCCAAATAGTCAACAACCTGAAGATGCAAATCCTTGTGCTGCTGATACATGTGGATATGGTCTGAACCCTTTTTTCTATTCAAGATTATGACAATATTGTTGTTCCTAGAGTATTAGAGATTTATACATCAACTAAATATTATTAAAAATTGTAAAAGCTAAAGCTAAATCAATCAATCAATCAAATTTTATTTATGAAGCGCTTTTCATACAAAAGATGCAACACAAAGTGCTTTACAGTTTGGTTAAAAACAATCCCGCCGACCCAAGACCCCTCCCCCAGACCACCCAACAGACCCACCCCAAACCACAAACACACAAACACAAACACAAACACAAACACAAACACAAACACACACACACACACACACACACACACACACACACACACACACACACACACACACACACACACACACACACAGTAAAAAAGGTAAAACAGTGATGAGAGACTTGGCAGGGTTCAGATGCAACCAGTTGAAAAAGCGTCATCCTAGGAGCCGTCTGCACCAGGAGCAGAGAGCCGCCTGTAGCCACAGGGGACGACACAGGATCTAGAGGAGACCCGAAACCGAGGCCCCAGGCCCCCACCAGGTCCAAGAGTCCGACCCCCACAGCCACGCCGACCACCGCTCCCAGTGCAGAGGGCTCCTCCAGAGGAAACACTGGGTACACTAAAAACAATACAATAACAATACAATATGTAAAACACAAAACTGTGGAACTAAAATGAAACTAAAATGAACTAACACACAATACATGAATAAAAGCAATAGCAATACAATAAATAATAGAGGATAAATAGAATATATAAAATGAAATAGTAAAAACTAATCAAAAGCTAATCTAAAAAGGTGCGTCTTGAGCCTGCTTTTAAAAATATGAATGTTCTCTGCGGCCCTGAGCTCCTCCGGCAGACTGTTCCAGAGACGGGGGCCGTAGTGCTGGAAAGATGCCTCACCGTGAGTGTGTGTCCTGACTTTGGGGATGGTTAGAAGTCTGCTGCCGGAGGAGCGCAGGGGCCGGGAAGGTTCATAGGATAAAAGCAAATCTGAAAGATAAGAAGGCCCAAGACCATTAAGACATTTAAAAACCATTAAAAGAACCTTAAAATCGATCCTGAAACACACGGGGAGCCAATGCAGCGATTTTAAAACCGGTGTAATGTGGTCCCGCCCCCTGGTCTTAGTCAGGACACGTGCGGCCGAGTTTTGGAGTAATTGTAAACCTGAAATGTTCTTTTTGGGAAGACCAGAGAGCAGGGCATTACAGTAGTCAATGCGACTGGTTATAAAAGCATGCATCAGCGTCTCCGTGTTGCCCCGAGAGAGAATGGGGCGGACTCTGGCGATGTTCTTTAGATGATAAAAACCTATTTTTGTGATGTTCTTGATGTGAGGAATAAAAGTCAGCTCAGAGTCAAAGATTACGCCCAGGTTTCTCACTTGTGATGATGGATTAAAAGAGTGTGATTGGAGTTTTGATAAAAGTTTCTCTCTCTGGGCCTCAGGACCGATGACTAAAACCTCAGTTTTGTCCTGGTTGAGCTGGAGAAAGTTTTCTGCCATCCAGGATTTCAGGTCTAAAATGCAGTTAAAAAGAGCATCCATTGGCCTGGTGTCATCAGGAGACATGGAGATGTACAGCTGAGTATCATCTGCATAACTGTGGAAGTTAATTCCATGTCTCCTGACGACACCGCCAAGAGGGAGCATGTACAGGTTAAAAAGGACTGGACCTAAAATGGAACCCTGGGGCACACCACATGTGATTTTATGGACCTGAGAGGAGCAGGTATCCAAACTTACCATGAAGGATCTGTCTGTTAAATAAGAAGTGAACCATTTGTGGACAGCACCAGAGAGGCCGAGGTGTTTCAGGCGGGATAAAAGAATGGTGTGGTCTACTGTATCAAAGGCAGCGCTTAGATCCAGTAGAACCAACACGGTCACCTTTTTAGAATCATAACTTAGTCTAAAATCCTTTAAAATCTTTAAAAGAGCAGTCTCTGTGCTGTGGTTCACCCTAAAACCTGATTGAAATTTCTCTAAAATTTGTTGCTGATCTAAGAAGGCATTGAGCTGGGTAAAAACAAGTTTTTCTAAAATTTTGCTTAAAAATGGCAGGTTGGATACCGGTCTGTAGTTGTTAAAATCA